CATACATTTCAATGAAACCGTATACCATATTTTCCTACATTTATTTCTAGCTTTGTTATTTATTAAAATTACAAAACACAAAGAGCTCAGTACTTTAACATTTAATTCCCATAGCAGTCAAAATGATTTCATTTCAGTTTCTGCTACTTTTCTACGTGACTTTGAATATGCAGACCTCTGTTGCCTAGCAACTTCCTGCAAAATAAAAAAACATAACTTTCTAATAAAAAAAAAACATAACTTTACTTATTCCATGTCCTTCAAAACAACAATTTGGGATGTAAAAATATGAGACAACAATTAGCTTCAAATGATATAATTTTTTGTAAACATTATAAAAGTGAATGGCCTATAAAGAAATTAAATCAAGTTATAAAATCTTGTACACTTTTTAATAGCTGTATTTAAATACCAATTAAAGTTACTATAGTTATTAGTGAAAGCAGCAAATGAATCTCTCGTTTTGTAAAATAACAAAGGTGTCAAGAATAAATACACAGATCTATGCACTCTCAGAAATAAAGGTACGGGAGCTGTCACTGAAGTGGTAATTCTTCAAAAGGTGTACATTTGTACTTCCATATTGGTACCTCAGAAGTATTTATTAGTATTTTAAAAGTAACACTTCCGCACTTTTCAGGTACCAATATGTACCCTTGAGGTATTAATGTGGACGTTTTATGTACAAATTTGTATCTTTTGAAAGATACCACCACATTGACAGCTCACACTCTTATTTCATAGAGTGTAGGCTAATGAAAGCATTCAGTTACTTTAGTAGTTGTGTTTAAATTAAAACGCGCAGGACAGACATGTTTACATATCATTTAGTGTATTTGTCTGTTTAAACAGACACCCAAATCCCAAAGTGTCCACTTTCGCTCCTTAAATGCCTTTTACAGAAGATGATCTGAGAAAAGTGTGTTTATCACCTTGGTGCGCGTCCATCATTAATACATGCATTCACTGATTCAGAGGTTGCATAGGAAAGGCAACAATCGACACACAACTTTAATAGAAAGAAAGTGAATGCAGATGTTTTTATATTCGTTTTATTTTGCTTTCAAGCCAAAATAAAGTGAAAGCACAATTCTCTTGACTTGCAATTGTATCACATTTAAGATTTGCTCTGTGTTGATGGTACGTTCACTTTTCATATAAAGATTAAAAATACAAGACAAATATGAGAAATTATTTCATCAGGATGATGGTAAAATATGGGAGAATCCCAGCAAAAATGGGAGGGTTGACGGGTTTCTGTGTCTTTCAAAACAACATTTTCAGTGCAGTGAAAAAAACCTTGCTAGTTAAAGTGAAAATCAAAAAATACAAAAGAATTGTATTTTTAGAATAATGGCCTCATGAAATATGAGGACAGATATATTTAACGCCTAATTTTAATATCTCTATATAAGCTTTGAATGTAAATATGTGACATGACAATACAACATTTTATATGAAACTGCTATGGTAAAACTAGTAGTTGTACATTATTGAAAGAAAGTTGTATAGAACATAACTGATATTCAAGGTGAGACATTGCAATTAATAGGTACACTCCCTGTGCTTTACCCTCACAAATGGCACCTGAACGGGTTCCAGTATTTTAAAAAAATATAAAAAATACTACAGTTTAGAATGTGAACTGGTTTTCTAATCTCAACCTTATTCCTATTTCACTTATAAACTGGCCTTCAACTCTAACCAGTTGCCCCTGCCCTGCCAACTTAACCTCCCCGCACTCATACACTGTAACCCATGACATATTGTCCTTAACCTTCACACAGCTCACACACGTGCTCTCTCGTTTCTCAACTCCCCTTCTCCACAGCTGCGGCTTAGCACTCAATAATGATCCACGCTGGATTTCCAACACCTTTGCCCAATGTTCTTCCCTCCTTTTCCTTCACACTCAGTCACTCACCTGCTATGACCTATTTCCTGTCAGCTTCATGGTCCTGCCCCAGCTGAGCCCCGACACTCGATGAGCAGTCTCTTTGTCTCCACTCTGCTAAAGAGATTAGAAGACAGTCACTAGTGATAGCTTGTACCTTTTAAACTCCGACTTAAATATTGGGACTTTCTTTTAAAATATAAAAAGATGCATAGGCTAACACAGCGTTCCAACCAGGCATATCACCAATGCACGGCTTTGTTCCCTATCAATCATTAACTCTTTTTCATCACTAATGTATCCAAAAGAGTATGGAAAATTGCTTGAAATATGCAGTATTTGTAAAAGAAGAGAGGAAGTATGTGCAATTTGAGATTTTAATCTTATGAGAATACAGATGAAGGGTGAGTAGTGCATTCTCCACAGTACAGAATGCAGCTCGTGACCGTGTACTTATTTATATGAAAAATTATACCCTTGGACCTGTGTTTACTCTTTGGTCACATAATGCTTTCTAATGTGAAGCCCACAGCATCATTAATGGCCACAAAGGGGTTATTACTAAGAGTTCTTGAGGTTCTCCGATTGATCAGCTACCGATTGCAATCAGCCAGTTATCACTTCTTAATAAACAATCCGTGGTCTATCAATTTCTCATTCGCTGCTTGACACTGTCTAAGGTTTGTAATTAATAAGGGAAAACAAAACAGCAAACTACATAGCCCTCTGTGCAATAGTGTTTGCCTCCTAAACCTAATAACTTGTTGGGGTGCTGTTTGCACCAACAACTGCAATCAAATGTTTTTAATAACTTGAAATGAGTCTGTTACAACACAGTGGAGGAATTTTGGCCCAGTCATCTTTGCAGGATTGTTGTAACTGAGCTACATTAAAGGATTTTCGAGCATGAACTGCTTTTTTAGGCTCATGCCACAGCATCTCAATTGGATTTATGTCAGGACTTTGACTACGCCATTCCAAAGTCTTCATTTTGTTTTTCTTCGGCCATTCAAAAGTGGTTTTGCTACAGTACCTTAGATTGCCTCAGTTTGAGGTTGCTATAAAGCGACATTCTCCTTAAGGACATTTTGATACACAGATAAATTAATTGTCATTTCTTGGAGTTCTTTGGGTGCTCTCGGATGTTCTTTAGGGGAAACTCTTAAAACTAATACTTGAGCCACTGTTGTAATACATTGAGCCACTAAACATTGTCCTTATGACGTTTTTCTACAGGAGGAAAATTTGAATTACTTCCAAATACTTAAAATAAAAAATCCAGGCATAACACTGTATGACAACATTTCAAATGGCATTTCAAAACAGACGTAAAGACGTGTTTGCAGACATCTGAATTGGGCTTTTTCTTCAATATCAAGTAGCATACACTAAGTTCAGTCTTGCATACTCTTCTCTGTATGCATATTTATAACAAAACGGAGCCTATAATACAATTGCCTATTTTCATTTTCAGTAAAACAAACGAAACATACCCTGTCTTTTTTGCTAATTGCCTATATAAAAGTATAACGTACAATAAGTTTTTACAATATAGCAAATAAAGACAAGCAATCAGTCAAATATGCAGAATCAGTGTACAGTATGTGGTTACATAAACTAATATATTAACTTATCTTTGAGCTCAGCCAAAACACGTTACCTGAGAACAAGTAATAGATTCAAAAGACCAAAGTCTGGGAATATGTCGCTAGATATAGACAAGATGAAATAAATATCAATTTTAACAAATATAGTGAGATTAGATCCAGCTGTAGATTCTTGATGAATCTTCTGAGGTGCACTGCTCTCACCTGGGGAGATGTGCTTAAAGCACCCGCTGACTGCCTGAAGCTCAGACATCTGCATACACTGCAGCTCATGTAAGAGTGTGGATGTGGTCATGTGATGTACATTTTCAGTGGTGTAGTGTGGACTGAGAGCTGTTCAAAATCGCTAGGTGAAACGCCAGTGTGGACGCGCATCGTTTTCGTTCTAAAATGCCATTTTAAAACTAAAACATATTAGTGTAAACGGGTACTAAGTTTGCTTCAGCTTGAGGTCGCTATAAACATGGGTGGACATTCTCCTTCAGGATATTTTGGTACAACGCTGAATTCATGGTTGCAAATGTCAAAACAGCCCCAAACCATCACATTGCCACAACCACATTTTACTGTTGGTATAATGTTGTTTTTATGCCACACATAATCGGACCCAGTCCTTCCAAAAGTCTTCTCTTGAGTATTTTCCTAAAAGTCTTTGCAATCATCAAGATTTTTTTCTGCCAAAACTGAGACAAAACTTTTTGTTATTTTTGCTCAGCAATGGTTTTCATTTTGGAAGTTTCCTATGCAAGCCATTTTTGCCAAGTTTCTTTCTTATGGTGGAGTCATGAACACTCATCTTAACTGAGGCACTCTTTTGGTTTGGGATTTTTTTTCCCAATAATAATAACAATATTTAATTAAAAAACTTTATAACATGTTTACTTGTGTTATATTTGACTAATATTTACATTTGTTTGATGACTTGAAACATTAAAGTGTGACAAACACACAAAGACACAAGAAATCAGGAAGGGGGCAAACACTTTTTCACACCACTGTACATTCTGTATATCAAATAAGTTTTGACTGGCTTAACCATATAGCCAACTTTAAGTGAGCAAACTTAATGAGGGAAAATTGCACCTGGATTGAATGGGGTGTATCACACTGCTCCTGCTGCTGATGGTTGTAGTGTGTTTGTGTGTTATTGGGTGGTTATTAAGCAGTCTCCAGCTGAGCAGCTCCATGCAATTGGTTTTTAAGATTGCAAGCAGAAGATCTTGAGCTTGACTACAGGCTATTATTAGAGCTCAGCAGAAGACAACATAAAGTACAGCAACCACACACACACACATACACACCCCTCGTATTCTTATCACAGCCCCCCTTCCACAGCTGTAGTGGGAGGATGAAGACTGTGCAACCATTTGCTTCACTGCTTGAGCCCCATATGGACTTTTGCGTGATTAATAGAGGCGCAGACCCCCATTAAACTGGAGAGTGGTGTGGAGGCAGGTGTATCTCCAAGGGCTCTCTGACCGCTCTGACTGCTCTTTCAGGTGACACTGCACTCTACAGAGATGGCGTGTACTGGATCATGGGCCGCACATCAGTGGACATCATCAAGAGTGGAGGATATAAGATCAGTGCGCTAGATGTGGAGAGACATCTGCTAGCCCACCCAGATATCACAGGTATACACACACATTCATACACATGTTCCCGAGTAGTTGACAAATAGGCAGTAAATTGTTAGGCTTTTTTTTTTAAACACCATCTTTGAAGAAAAATAGATATATTTATGTAGTTTGAAGTCTGTAATATAATATGTCACTAGCTTTATCAATTATTTCAGTTTTATTTGTACTGAACTGTACCATGCAATAAATATTAAAGAATGACATAGCAAAAATTATGTAAAACAACTCTTATTAATATACAAATAGCATGAGATCAGTATGTTTTTATACTCACTGGCCACTTTATTAAGTACACCCTATTAGTACTGGGTTGGTCCCCTTTTGCCTTCAGAACTGCCTTAATGTTTTGTGGCATAGATTCAACAAGGTACTGGAAATAATCTAATCAGAGATTTTGGTCAATGATACCATCACGCAGTTGCTGCAGATTTGTCATCTGCACATGCATAATGTGAGTCTTGTTCCACCACATCTCAAAGGTGCTCTATTGGACTCCACAGGCACCAGATCTCCCCCACAACATAACATCACTACAACCAGCCTGAACCGTTGTTGAAACCATGCTTTCATGTTGTTGATGGCAAATTCTGACTCTACCATCTGAATGTCGAAGCAGAAATTGAGACTCATCAGACCAGGCTATGTTTTTCCAATCTTCTATTGTCCAATTTTGATGAGCCTGTGTGTGTTGTGGAAAAAAGATTCTGGTCTGCAAAATATTCTAAGTCTCTAATTCAAAGTCTTAAAAAAAAATATGGCAAAGTCTGCGATCTCCGAAGTCTTTAGGCAAAGCAGTTTATAGTTACAGCATCAGTAACAACAGAGACAGGTCGTTTGAGTGTCTGCCGAACATAGGCTTGCACACAGTTTAAATACATTTCTGTTTCTTTATACTCCACCCAAATTTACATATTACACACCTCCATCAGCTTCTCCGCTAATGGGATCTTAAATCTCTTAGCTGCCTGCCACCACTAGAATCTCAGGGTCTTTCAGGGGTCTTACCCATGTCCAGTTAAGGTCTCTCTTTCCTGTTTCAAAATCGATGACTCAGCCGAGAAACAATGCTCAACAATATATCTTGTTCACTGTCCACTGAGCTGTCAACTGTAAGTTCAGCTGAAGTTCATGGGTACTCATATTTTGTAGAAGTCATTACAAATGAGTGTGGGCGCTTGTGCAGGTGTGCCTTATCATGATTTACAGAACAGAGAGCAGGTGTCCTTATGGCCTTGCTTCCATAATTCTACCCTCATTTTGATATTAATGCTGCTCTTCTCATTTATCTTCTCATCTCTGACTGCATTTACACAGAATGACTTTTTTATTTACCAAAGCACACATACTTGATAATAATGCCAAAGGTATGGGTAATAATACAATAGATGATAATAATAATAATAATAATAATAATAATAATAATAATACTGAAATCACTCAAATAAGCATATAAATGAGAGTAATACATTCATCAGAAAGTCATCAAGACAATGATTTCCCCAACAATTGTAGCCTCAGTTTCCTTTTCTTAGCTTATATAAGTGGCACCCTGTGTGTTTTTTTGCTGCTGTAGCCCATCCAACTCAAGGTTGGACATGTTTGCATTCAGCGATGCTCTTCTGCATACCTCAGTTGTAATGAGTGGTTATTTAAGTTACTGTTGCCTTTCTATCAGCTTGACCCAGTCTGGCCATTCTTCTCTGACCTCTGGCATCAATTAGGCATCTGTGCCAACAGAACTGCCGCTCACTGGATATTTTCTCTTTGTTGGACCATTCTCTCTAAATCCTAGAGATGGTTGTGTGTGAAAATCCCAGTAGATTAGACGTTTCTGAAATGCTCAGACCAGCCCGACTGGCTCCAACAACCATGCCACGTTTAAAGTCACTTAAATCACTTTTCTTCCCCATTCTGATGCTCAGTTTGAACTGCAGCAGAACATCTTGGCCATGTCTACATGCATAAATGCATTGAGTTCCTGCCATGTGATTGGCTGATTAGAAATTTGCGTTAACGAGCAGATGGACAAGTGTACCTAATAATGTTGCAGGTGATTGTACATTTATAGTGGTTCCAAAAAATTCAATATGTAAAAACTTCTTAGAAAAAAACTTTGCTTCACAGCGATCTTTAGTCACATGATCTTGTTTTGATTACTTCAACTAATTAAAGTGTTTATGTAAATGTGTCATTTTTGTATGTTTTTTAAGGAATCTATGGATGAAGAAAAAAATTATATTTACAAAAAGATCATAAAATTACCACCACCACTCATAAAATTAGCCCTTAAGTATTTATTAACGATTTTAGGATATTCGTTCATTAATTTTCATTTATTTTTCTTTTTTGCTTAGTCCATTAATTAATCTGGGGTCACCACATTGGAATGAACATGCAAACTCCTCAAAGAAACTCCAACTGACCCAGCCGAGGCTCGAACCAGAGACCTTCTTGCTGCGAGGCCATCGTGCTACCCACTGCACTACTGTGTAGCCCTGATCTTAGGATATTTTCATTTTCATTTTTAAGAGCTGTTATTTATTGAGTTATGCTTGGGACAATAACTACATACGACAGTTCTTAGACAGTTTTCAAAGCATAATTACAAAGCCATTTTATATCAAGAGACCCATGAAAGCCAACAAAATATTTAACCATTTTTATTTATTTATTTATTTATTTATTTATTTTTGCATTTTAACTCTGTTAGTACTATTAACGTCAGTAAATACATACTTAACCTTTTTTTTTTTGCTTTAAGTTTAATGACTTTTCCTTATTTAATGTGGATGACAGTAAACATGAAATTAGCATTGCCATTTTTTTCAATGTCCTATATTTATTTTGGAACCAGCTTGACCCTAATGGTAATTTAGTAATAGTTTATAGTTATTTGCCATTCGACTACAGGTAATCTGGATGTATAAGAGGCAGGGAGGGGTGATTGGGTAATTTCTAGAGGCTATTAAGGAAGTCAAACATGACAAATTACTTTACTCAAGCCTTTTAGTGAATGAATAAATAAATAAAAATAAAAATTTTTGGAAGGCAGCACAGTGGCGCTGTGGGTAGCACAATCGAGTCACAGCAAGAAGGTCGCTGGTTCGAGCCTCACCTGGGTCAGTTGGCTTTTCTGTGTGGAGTTTGCATGTTTCCCCCACAAGTCCAAAAAAAAAAACATGTGCGTATGAGTGTGAATCAGTGCTTTCACACCTAGACTTTTGTTTCGGAACCTGTCTCGTTTGCCCAGTTAGTAAGAACAAAGAATCGATTCACAGGTGTTAAAATACCCTAAGTGTCGATGGATGTTTCCCAGTGGTGACCTCAGATTAATAAAGGGACTAAGCCGAAATAAAATGAATAAATAACATTTTGCAAGTTTAAATTGCTAGAGTCAAATTGACCTTAAAATGTGTTACCAGAAATGTGGATTAATAGGAGGATTAAACGGTGACAATACTAATTAAATTTATTTTTGTCATGGGTGATAGTGAAAATACATAATTTCAAAAATATATGAAAGGGAATAAATGTGCATGGTTCCTTCTTTTCTTTAGATGTCGCTGTTATTGGTGCTCCAGATGCCACCTGGGGTCAGAAGGTTACTGCGGTTGTGCAGATGAGAAAGGGGAAAACAATGATTCTGTCTGACCTGAAAGCTTGGGCAAGGTAATTTGTAGGATCACTGAGCTATAGCTTTTGCTATAAGCAAAAGGTCTTGTCCACATTGTTGTTTTTTTGAAGGACAATATCCACCCACTTAGTGGAGGTTTATAAAGAAAACATTCTTACATTTTTAAAGACCAATTCACACCACACATATAAACAACAACAAACAAGTCGGAGTCCTTTGATTTTTATACTCAATCTTAGATACTCTCTGTAGAAAGGGTAAGTACATTAATGTTTTCACTCATTAATGGATCCATTTCTTTCTGTCCAACTCACATACTTATTTGGTGACAACAAAATATTTTCTCAACTCACTTTTTTAAAGATTTCATGATTATAATAATTTTTTTTTTTAAATAATTTTTTTAATTTTTTTTTTTTCTTAAAGGAGACCTATGCCCCATTTTACAAGATGTAAAATAAGTCTCTGATGTCCCTAGAATGTGTATGTAAAGTTTCAGCTTAAGATACCACACAAATAATGTTTAATGACTCTTTGAAACTGCCCCTTTTAGGCTTTGATCCTAATTGTGTCGTTTTGGTGACTGCTACTTTAAATTCAAATTAGATTGTTTTCTTTTTAAAAGAGGGTGGACCTGCAAATGCTTATGTGTCAGCATAGTGGCAGATTCAAAAATAAGACTGATGTCCTATGCTAATAAGGGACAGATTGTCACTAGAGGCAGGGCTGTTCCTTCTGATGTCACAATCAAAAGGAGAATGTCAATCAAAACGTTTCTGCAGACTGTTTTTATCAAGTGTGATTATAAGACATACAATAAATACATTTTTAACATTAGAAGCTGGTTAAATTTATAGACGGTTGCCACACAATAGTATTTAAACCCTTGATAAAAGTCATTTTTGCATAATTGGTCCCCTTTAAACTCAGATTTCAGACCATTATAGCAGTCTTTTTTTTCTATAACTTTATTTAGTTTTACACTGAATGATACAATTGTAAACTGAATATGTCTACTTGGCTCTATACAGAATGAGTCAGCAGTGCTGCAGGAGGCTCCATACATTGATTGAGTGGACAAATGACTGACAAGACAATGATATGGTGCACAACAGACCCTGAGGGTTATTAACAAAAGTCATTTCTTGTTTAAATGTGCCCTTAGTACAGCCGCTCTCTATACTCAGTGTTCACATGACCACAAATTTAATATCTAAAGTGAAAAAGTAAAAAGCGAGCAAATGTTCAAAAGCTGTTTCTACCTATTGATAATATTGAAAATGGCTCACTGATTATGAGCATCATTAGATTATCCATCATTACTTTTTGAATCCTTGCAAATTATACCAAAAAGGATGTAAATATTTACATTCAAGTCAAAAAACAAAAGGTAGCTGTATGTCATTAAAAATTTAGTATTAATCATATAGAGTCATCCTACTAAGATGGCATGACACAGCTTCGCATTCTCTATAGAGTTGCTTTCAACACAATTTTGCAGTACCTCCCTTTCACTCAGGCTTAGCGTTAAAATGTATTAGCTTAGCTCATAACTATTAAATTGCCTCACAGTTCTAATAGTTCTGTTGTAATGAGGTGATAGCAATAGGAGGATCAACGTGTGCATTAATAGGTCTGTCAGCAGGCTCAGATTAAAAATACAGATGCACTTGTAGAACCTCTTGTATCGTCTTGTAAAATAAAATGTAATATATACAGTTGAAATCAGAATTATTCGCCCCCTTCAATTTTTTTTTCTTCTTTTTTAAATATTTCCCAAATTATATTTACCAGAGCTAAGAAATTTTCACAGTATGTCTGATAATATTTTTTATTTTGGAGAAAGTCTCATTTGTTTTATTTTTGGCTAGAATAAAAGCAGTTTTCATTTTTTAACACCATTTTAAGGACAAAATTATTAGCCCCTTTAAGCAAAAATTTTTTTCAATAGTCTACACAGAAGCCATCATTATACAATAACTTGCCTAATTACCCTAACCTGCCTACTTACCCTAATTAACCTAGTTAAGCTTTTAAATATCACTTTAAGCTTTATAGAAAATATATTGTCTTGAAATATATCTAGAAATATTATTTACTTTCATCATGGCAAAGATAAAATAAATCAGTTATTAAAAATTAGGTATTAAAACTATTATGTTTGGAAATGTGCTAAAGAAATATTCTCACTGTTAAACAGAAGTTGGGGGAAAAATAAACAAGCAGTCTAAGAATTCAGGGGGGCTAATAATAACTGTATATATAACGTGCTGCGTTAATGCGAGTTTAATAACTCACATTAACACACACTAAATGTAAAAAAAGAAAACCTTCCGCATGTGCTTGCGTGTGTGCGTGTGTTTGTGTTTGAGGTCCTTTATTGACAGCCACGTGTGTGGATCTTGTCAAAAAATATGCTGAAAAGTCCTACATGACAGTAATAGGTTGACTGTGGTGTTTTCTTGAATAATGCCACTAATATTTGCATTCTCCACATGTCTTTATTCCATTTCTGTTTAGTTCAGTTATGACAGTTATGAAGGTAATCAAAAATCGCGATTTGGAGCTTATGTAGGCCTACAGTTCAAAATTCATGTTTATATTCATGAACATCATTTATTGTCATCACCAATTATCACAGTAGAACAGTTTCTCAAGCAGTTTGTGATGCGTTTTCGAAACCGGAGATGAGCCCCTGGTCTAATGCGCTACCTGGCTTGAGAAACCCATTCTAATTATTTGGGAAAAACACACATTCTGAATGCTTTCGGCAAAATTCAAATGAGCCATTTTAATCTAGATAAATCTAGATTAATTCCAAGATTACAGTGAGATTAATCTAGATTAAAACAATTATTCTATGCAAAAACAGAAGTCTGAAATTTTCTTCAAAAATTAGCATTTTTCCCACACTATACTTTTATGGCAAAACTAAATTCTTTGCATGGTCTTTACACTAAAATAAAAACATAAACGTAGAAAACTTCGAAAAAAATTCCATATAAGCGAAGTTTATTCAAAAATTAATTTTGAGAGAAGCACATGCTTGTGATTGATGACGGCTGATCCTGCAGTAATTGCCGCATTTACAGTATAACCAGAATTTCTTACTTCAGTCATCTTTGAAGAATCCCCCCTACTTCTCCACCTTTCCCTTTATAGGGCAGCATGGTAGCCCAGTGCTTAGCACTGTTGCCTCACAGCAAGAATGTCCTTGGTTCAAATCCTTAACAGGCCAATGTCCATTTCTGTGTGGAGTTTACATGTTCTCTACATGCTCGCGTGGGTTTTCCCTGGGTTCCCCAGTGTCCCCCCACAGTCCAAAAACATGTGTCATAAGTGAATTGATCAATTTAAATTAGCACTATAGCCAAGCTCTTAAGCAGCAGTATATCTCTACATAGCAATTTATAATCTGTCATTAGCTCTAAATAAGTGGGGAGTTCTCAAGGCCCACCAGAGCTCAAAGTCCCCTCTCGCTCTGCAAACTGGAGGGATCCCGGGCTTGAGGATATTCAAAGCTCAGGGCTCTCTTTCAGGACAGCATGCCAAACTCGCTAACTGCGAACTCTTAAAATTATAGATGGCACTTAAAGGTTTTTCAATCTAAACTCTTCAAATATACTTTTTTAAAGTGAATTTAGTATACATGCTTTACAAATGAATTGTATGTGTTTTAGAGGTGGAATTTTTTTCATGTGGAAAAAGCTGCAATTTTTTTGTAGTACATTAATTTGCAGTAATAGTATACTTTAAATGCACACCACCATACAATATTTTTATTAAATACCCACGAGGCACTTTTGACTGTATTTTCATTATTTCTCTTTTTAAATATTTGCTTCTTACCTAAAAATATTTTTAATAAGAAGTTTTTTCTTAGTTAACAAAACAACCTTCAGAATCCTGAGGAGGAGGAATGGTGGCAAATCTTAGAGTAATCGCCTCTTGAAGTCTTGGAAAATGGCTAAATATGCCCAAAATCTACACTGAATCCCAATTTCTGTGTATTAAAGTTTAGATGCACATCAGCATTCTGTTGTGTCTAAAGCTAGATCTACTTTACATCACATCCATCTCCTCCTACAGCTCCCCTATAGTTCAGAATATGCAATGACAGGACAAGAATTTTCAAGTGCCAATCACCATCCAGCAAAACACACTAGAACTTACTCAAAAAAAAAAAAAAAAAAAGGCAGGTGATGAAATGTTGCTGAAATGCACCAGCTGCCTTGTTGCGAGTAGTTTGTAGCGGAGCACAGTGATGTGTTTGGAAGTGTGTTTTTTTGGCCTTGCGTCAGCGCGCGTGTAGCGTGTTGAGTCAGACATCGAGTTGGACTCCCTCAGGACACGCGTTATACTCAAGAGGATTTTTAAAAGCCCCCGTATAAATAACAATACACACACAGAAACGCACACACCCATGGACGAGGACTCATTTAGGAGCATGGCTCAAGAACAGATGTGTGTTCAGAGAGAGAAAGAAGAGAAAGAAACGTCGTCTGGCAGGCTTTGTCTCAGTTTATTGTATTCCCTAAACTCTGTTTCTTTTTAAATGTCACTTTTGTTTGCAGAAATGTAGCATTTTTCGCCTGAACCTAAGTACTGTCAGAAGACACATGTCCCGTTATGGGAAGCAGCTCGGGGCTCTTTTTTTATCTGCGTTTGAGTGCGTGTGAGCTCCATATGGTGTGGGGGTGTTGGCAGCAGTGCTGTGCCCTGCTGGTGTGATGCTGTGTGTGTATGTGTGTGTGTGTTTTTGCATTGCCCTTCTGACCTGTCCCAGACCCTCTAGCAAAGCCCTGCAAAGAGCAACATCCACAGAGAAAGAGAGAGATGCTCAGTCCTCAGTGCCGTAACTCCATCTGTCATCTCTCATAAACGTCACTCTATATATGTCATAAGGCGTAGAAAGACAGAAAATGATGAGCTGAAAGAGACACGCATGCAAAAGGAAGGATGATGCCAACACATACACTTAATACACAAATACACTTCATTGAACATGAACACATAGACCTCACCATCACCTAAA